AGAGAGAGAGAGAGTTCCGGTGGTCAGACTCACAGCATTGTCAGGGGAGAGAGACACTATTGGAAGAGAGTGGCATTGCGCATGGCAGTGCGCAGTACAAGTGAATTGGCCTTTCCACTCACGCACACACAACAATTTTGTTCGTGTTGTGTTTGTGTGTCCGTGTATTGAGAGAGAGAGAGAGAGAGAGAGAGAGAGAGAGAGAGAGAGAGAGAGAGAGAGAGAGAGAGAGAGAGAGATGATGATGTTTGAAGGGAGAGCGATGGGGCATTGGGCGCTTTATAAGCCTAGATATCGCCGTCTGGCCATCTCTCTAATGTTTGTGGCAGCGCTGGTCTTCGCCATCACATGCGTGCCACGTGTCCATCAGCCACAGGCCTATCATAGGTTTGCTGACAAGCGCACACTTATTCCGGGTATGACCATTCGCTTCGTTTCACCGAGACTTTCCCCCTCCCTCCCTCCTCCTCTCTTCTCTCCCTTTTCTCTCCTCCTCCTCCTCCTCCTCCTCCTCCCCCTCCTCCTCTCTCCTCCCCCTTTCCCCTGCCACTCTTCAGAACCGAAGATATGCCGTTGTTCTCCCTCTTGTCTGCCGACATTTCTCCTTTCTCCTCCTCCTCCTCCTCCTCCTCCGCTGCCTCCACGCAGAGCGAAGCTCTGGCGTTTCTACTTCCTCGATCAAAAAGGCGATGGCGTACTGACCCACGGGCCTACTGTCTTCACCCACCCGAATAGAACGCCCGGTCATTATCGCTGCATCTGGACCGAAAGTTGTGCCAAATACAGCTATAATGACCGGGCGTTCTATTCGGGTGAAGACGGTAGCTCAGTTGCTAGACACCCATGAACTGTTGAAATAAAGACCTGAGTTCGAGTCCAGATGAACTACCGTAGCCATCGCTTGTCTCTTCATTCCTCGATCAAAAAAAGCGATGGCTTACTAATCAACGGCCTAGCTCAGCTGATAGACACCCATCAACTGTTGAAATACGGACCTGAGTTCAAGTCCAGATGGACTAGATGAACGAAAACGAAATCGATGGCTTGCTGAAAAAGAAGAGGAGGGGAAACCTACGGCGTGTCGAAGAAGAAGAAAGAAGAAGAAGAGGAAGAAGAAGAGGAAGAAGAAGAGGAAGAAGAAGAGGAAGAAGAAGAAGAAAAGCTATGGCGGATCGGGAAAAAAGGAAAGCTATGGCGTATACCTACCTTCCTTTTTCTCTCAACATTTCATCGTCAGCGACCACAGGCGTGGGATATCTGGGCGCACAAGCCCGCTGTGGCTATTTTGGTCTGAATCTGGCCAGGAATGTGACCAGATCCATCCTCGAAAGCCTTGTGTGAATATTTCCCGCTAATCCCGATTACGTCCGGACCAGTCGTACACGACACACATGCATCATCCCAGACTTCGTCGAATTATTACGTCAGGACCGTTGATGGGTGTTTAATCTCTCATCAATCACCAATTATCATTATCCACGCATTAAGTTGAGTGGCGGGAAAGCACGCTTTTTTGTTTTGTTTTTTGTTTTTAATCGCTCTCTTTTTTTGTTTAACGCTGGCGCTGTCGCGCCCTTTTTTTCTTTTTTTTTGTGACAATATATAATGTTTTGGTATCTATGTTTGTTTTGTTGCCCCCTGTTCTGTCTTATTTGGCTGTTCCCTTCCTCTTTTCTTTGCCTCTTTGCCTTTTGGCTGTGTGCAAGTGGGTCGATATGACACACGGGGGTGGGGGCAGCCGCCGCTCAACCTACATCCACGTGGGCGGCCTTGTACGCACCCCCTACCGCTGGTAACCCCCTCGTACCCCCCCGGTTCTTTTCCCGCCTCCCCCCCGGCCCCCCCGGGGCCCAACCCTCCGCAGAAGTTTTACTTTTGTATTAGGGATGCGTAACACGGTAGTAATGACAGAATAACCAATTGAATGAAATAATAATTAATAATGCAGGAATAAAGCTAGGCTACCAGAGTGGGCCGGGGTCACTTGCCCGGCCGGGCCAAAAATAAATAAATAAATAAATAATAATAATAATATTCTTAAATTTTATTTTTTATTCTAAATTTGGTGAGGAATTTCGATGTAACCCTGAGGCAAAAGTTGTTCAGTTTATTTTTCTGGATAACATAGTTTTTTTTTTTTTTTTGCTGGGACCTTCCCTGGTCCTTGCACGGGCTGGCCACCCGGGACCCGGGCGGCCCGGCTGTTAGCCTAGTAATAAAATAATCAAAAAATTATCAAATCGTGATCGGGGATTTACATGGATATATATTGGGATTTAAAAATATAAAGTATTGTAGTATTTGACGATATATAGTATGGTATGACGATATATTTAAATCTTATTTTTTAAAATAAATAATTTGAGTTGTGAATGTCGCCGTACGACTGACGGATCTGGAGCCGACGAAATGCAAATAGGTTTTTTTTAATCGGTTCCTAAATGTTTCGCTGGAAAAAAAAAAGCAAAGGAGTGTTATTGTATTATATTATATGATATATTACTTTATTAGTTTATAACTTTATATTAAATTAAATTATCTATGGAATTCATCAGATCACATACGTCATCTAATGCTCTCCAAGTGGTCGAAAATATATTATTATTATTATTATTATATAATTTATTGTATTATCTCATAGCGAGTAATATGTCCGTGCTTAGTTAGGGCATACTCACCACTTTCTCGACTGAATCTGGTCGCAATTAGGATCAGGAACGTGAAGAGAGAGACCTAGGATTATGACTGGAATTGTCTTTCACGCCACGTGATTGTACAACGGGTATGTACATGGTAGACTTAATTAAATTTAATTTCAATTAATTCTATTTATAGCTGTTTAATTAAAAAATATATCGACAATTATTTATCTATGTATGGAGTATATTATCTATCAAATAATTCAAAAAATAAATAAAAAAATTCACTCTCGAGTTGTATATACGGATAAGTAGCTCTCAGTCGTCATGGTATAATGCGTATGAGTGATTTTT